TGGGCCCAACTGGTTTACAAGGTTGACACAACCAGTTTGGAAAAAAGATGTCCAAGAGTAGAAGATACGCAATTCTTCTACTCTTCTACTAATCTTCTACTAATCTTCTACTGAGAAGGACTAATCCACATGCCCATTTGTGGAGAGCAGAGATGTCAGCTTGAGGACTAGGGTGCGCCTGACCCAGGCCATTGTGTTTTCAATAGCCTCATATGGATGCGAAAGCTGGACAGTGAATAAAGAGGATCGTAGAAGAATTGATGCCTTTGAGTTGTGGTGTTGGAGGAGAATACTGAAAGTGCCATGGACTGCCAAAAGAACCAATAGATCTGTTTTGGAAGAAGTGCAGCCAGAGTGCTCCTTGGAGGCCAGGATGGCTAAGCTTCGTCTCTCCTACTTTGGACATGTAGTCCGGAGGAAACAATCATTGGAGAAGGATGTCATGCTGGGTAGGGTGGAGGGTCAGAGAAAAAGAGGAAGACCCCCAACGAGATGGATCGGCCAGGTGGCATCATTGATGGACTCGGGGGTGGCAGCGGTGGTGAGGTTGGCCCAGGAGCGTTGTTTCGTTCTGCTGTGCATGGGGTCGCTATGAGTCGGTTCCGACTCGATGGCACCTGACAACAACAACAACAACAACAACTTCTGGGAACTGGAAATTTAAAGCCATCTCAGTGCACATGGACTCACAAAACAGCAGATGTATGAACCACTGCTCACACAGAGTGGTCCTTCCAAATGTCAACTGTTCCTCTCAACTACCGCAAGAGGTGGTCTGGGAGCCATGGTGGCTTTAAATACCAGGAAGCAGTAACTCCTCAGAGTTGAGTAACTTGCCTGAGGTCACACAGCCAAGTGACGGAGCTGGAACTTGAACCTAAATTGATTTAATGAGGAGCCCTCGTGGCACAGTGATTAAAACACTTGGCTGCTAATCAAAGAGTCAGGAGTTTGAGCTCACCTGCCGTTACTCAAGGGAAAGGTGTAACAGTTGGCTTCTGTAAAAGATTTGCAGTTCTGGAAGCATATGGGACGGTTCTACTCCATCCTACAAGGTCGCTGTGAGTCGGAGTCCACTCAACGGCAATGGATTTGGTTTTCTCTTACCTAACTAAATAGGAGTCCTGGTGTGGCTCTGCAGGATAATGTGCTGGACTGCAAGATCAGTTTGAACCTCAGGGTCAGCAGTTCAAACTCACCAGTCACTTCTTGGAAACTCTACACAGCGTGGCTATGGGTCAGAACTGACTTAACCGCAATAACAAATAAATATCTTACCACCTTTTACTCTATAGTTCTGACCCTCATTCTCTCAATTCCCAATGGGGTCAAATGTCAAAAGCCTAGGTGTGGACCCCCTCAGAGATTTGGGAGTTTGCAGTCCCCTGGTCTACTTCCCTCCTGAAGTTTGCTGTGCCTTCCTTTCATTTGGTTATGCTAGCTCAAATTTTCTACAAGAGCTGCCCTGCCTTGTTGCTGTCCTTAACTGTCTCTCAATTGCTTGTGGGTGGTCGGGGGCAGCTACTCTGAAACCAGCCAGGTCCACTCAACACCTTTCCCCTGGAAGTCCAAGTAGATAGTCAATTTACTCCAGACTGTTTGGTAAAAATTCAAGAACTCTCATGTTAGAATTTGATGGCTTCCAAGAGGGTACTGTATAGACTGTAGGCTAAGCACTGGACTCAAAAGTTGGTTTGAATCTCAAAGTTGATGGTTCAAACTCATAAGCCACCCTTGGTAACCCTATATGGGGTCACTATGAGTTGGGACTCAATAGCACTTAACAACAAGAGGGTACCATGCCCACGCATTGCTGAGAAGAGGCAAGGAGAGATGTTCTCAGTGATGCACATTTTCTTTGTCTTCATCCTTAGTTTGTTCAGGCCAGGTTGCCTCAGTTTTGTCATCTGTAAAATGGGGGTGATAATAGTACTAGCTTCACAGGATCGAATGATAAAGACTGCAGAAGGTCCAGATGGCTTTGATAACTATTTTTCAAACAAATGAGAGTAGGTGCTTCTCTCAGAAACTTGATACATTTCCTGAACAAAAAAGGAAGTGCCTGATTATACTTTTTTTCCAAGGCAATACGAGAAAATAACCTAGAAGTCTCTCTTTATCCCCTAGGATGAAAGGGCTGTGGAGAAAGAAATGAGTGATTAAGAGAGATTAGAACCCAGGCCCTGTGAACATATAGGTGTCAGACTGCCCTTGTGCCTCTCGTGATCTCTAGGATCCTGCCTTCCATCTTCTCTTGCTTCCAGAAAGTTCTCAAGTGTGTTTGGTGAGACGTTGCAACAAGGAGGAAGGAGCAGGTTGCAAGAGACAGGCCTTTGTAAGGGCAGAAGGGCTCTGGTCAGGCCCACACTGGATCCCAGCCACAGGAAAAAAATCCCAGAAAAACCCAGGGGGACCCCCTACCCCCACTTTACTGCACGCTCCTCTATTCTCCTGGGCAGAGTCTCCTTTTGAGCAGTAAGGACAAGAACAAGGACTTGGCCATGGGAAGTCCCTTGTCCTCTCGAACTTCAGCTTCCCCATCTGTAAAAGGGGTGTGTATATACACCTGGTGTGGCCCTGTAGGATAAGCACTCAATGGCAAGTAGGTTTGAACCGCAAAGTCGGTGGTTCAAACTCACCAGCCACTCCTCAGAAACCCTATACAGGATCACTATGAGTCGGAACCAACCCAAAGCACTTAACAACACAAACCCCTTAAAGAGGTGCTGAGAAGAGAATGAGGCGGGGCTGGACCATCGGTGATGACCGAAGCATCTCAGGCTGCCCTGGAAGGGGCGGCGCCTTCTCTCTGGGAATCTGTTTCAGAAGTTGATGGTGGTGCCACAGTGGTTAAGTGTTCAACTATTAACCAAAAGGTCAGTGGTTCAAACCCACCAGTCACTCCTTAAGAGAAAGATGTGACTGCTTGTCTCTATAAAGATTGCGACCTTGGAAACCCTCTGGGGGCAATTCTACTCTGCTCTACAAGGTCACTGTAAATTGGAATCAACTCAACTGCAAAGGGGTTTTGTTGGGATTTTTTTGTTATCTCTGGGAGATAGTTTGGGGTTAGGGAGCAGGTGAGGCAATTTTTTTTTTCTTTTTGTTTTCACTAATTTAAAAAAAATCAACAATAAAGATTTACTATTCCTGTAATGGAGTCCTGGTGTGGCACTGTAGGACAAGTATTGGACTGCTAACCAGACGGTTTGGCGGTTCAAACCCACCAGCCGCTCCTCAAAAACCCTATACAGGGTTGCTATGAGTCAGAACTTACTGGATGGTACTTAGCATTCCTGTAATAGTTATATAGGTAGAAACATACAAGGGAGCTTCAAAAATTTCATGGAAGAATGGAATGAAAGATAATGGAATTTTTCCAGGAACTTTTAAAAGTGCCCTTGTACATTTTTTTTTTCATTATTAAACGCAGTTACTTATTTTGTTCTCGTAACTTCACTTTGAACAAGGCCTTTCCTCAGATCATCACTAAGATTAGACCAAGTTTCCTCATATCCCAGAAGGGTGTAAACAGTTTACATTCAGCTACTAGCCCATTCAACAGCCCCTCAGAAGATAGACCGACTCGATGACACTTAACAACAACAACAACATATCTTGTTTTTGTTGTTGTTGTTAAGTGCCGTTGGGTCGATTCTGACCCATAGTGACCCTGTATAGGGTTTCCGAGGAGCAGCTGGTGAGCTTGAACCACAGGCCTTGTGGTTCAAACTGACTTTGCAGTCCAGCACATTAACCCACAGTGTCACAGGAAAACCCAATGAAGCAGTTCTCGTCAATGACACACGGGGTCGCTATGAGTCAGAATCAGCTTTATGAGAATGTGCTGGGTTTTTCCTGTTGTTAGTTTCATCACAGACTTCTTAAGGATGGCTCGAGGAAACTTGAACACAGAGATTCATTCAGTATGTCCCCCCTCCCCTTTCTGTCACATGCTGCCACACAACTGAGGCTCCCTCCACATCACCATCTTGTCACACCCTTCATCACATCACCCCTACCTACCCTGCCACACATCCTTGTGCACCTCAAGTCCCTTTCATATCTCCAACAGCTTGTATGTTCAACTCTCAGCATTTCCACTGTGCGCCCCTACCCTACCTGTCCAGTGTGTCCCCTCCGCTGGGCACCGGAGGTCCAGCATGTGGAGAAGGCAGAGGCACAACAGCCCTCTCACCTCCCTACTCCTCACTACCAGCCTCCCATCTCAGTCCCAGGGTTTCTGTGAGCTTCACAGAGCTGGGCTAGGGATAGGAGAAGACGTTGAGCTGAGCAGAGTGCATACAGGGGCCCTCCACTGAGTACTAGGCCAGTGCTCACATGCCCATGTGACCCAGGACAGAAGCCCCCACAGCGCTGTTGGTAAGCTCTTGCTGGCTCCAAGCAAGCATTGTTTGTTAGGCTGTAGGGAGGGTGCATGGTCCTCAGAGGAAGGAACATATCCTGAACCCACGCTGACTCAAAGCTCAAAGCCACATATGGCCTCTGGGAGGGGTGACCTTGTTGAATGACCACACACCTCAATGTCAGACCAGACCTGCCCCCACGATGTGTGACCTGAAGGGTTCTCTCCTCTGCAGTCTCTTCTCTCTCATCCATAAAATAGGGGTCCCAACCCTTAGCTGATTGCTGTGAGGAATAATTGAGCTGGCCCTTGGAGAGTCCCTGGGGCAAGTGGAGTCTTCTAAAGAACAAAAACACATTACAGACTAATTTATGATCCCCCAAATAACTTCTTGCACAGAATCATTTTGAGAGTTAGTTGCTGATCTAAGACCCTACCTTCCCTGAACATTGGAGCCTGTCTGACTTGTATCTCCTACATCACCTGGTATTCACATCTTTGTGGTCCCCTCCAACACTGACTAAGGCTGAGTCATCCAATGAGATATTGTGGAATTGTGTGAGACACCAAAGGCTAGACCAGAAAGCATTGCAGCTTCTGCTCTTTGGGATCACTTACTTTCGGGCTCACTTACTTGCCATGTTCTAAGGACACTCAAGCAGCCCTAGGGTGAGAAACCAAGGACTTCTGTCAACCAAGGACCAAGCAGAGTCACTCACCTTAGAAGCAGAGCCTCCAGCCCCAGTGAAGGCTTCAGATGATCCCAATCTCATCAAAGAGCCAGACCCAGACAGAAACACTAGTTGCACTGCTCCAAGATTCCTGACCCATAGAAACAGTACCATGTAATTATTGTTGATTGTTTTAAGCTGGTAAATTTGGGGTCATTTTGTAAGAAACGTTTTCAATACCCACGTTTGTAAACACTCAAGAAATCCAATCTGTACTCATTTTAGTGAGAGTGTTGTTGTTGTTGTTGTTAAGTACCATGGAGTCGGTTCCGACTCATAGTAACCCTGCACAGGGTTTCCGAGGCTGTAAATCTTTACGGGAGCAGAACGCCTCATCTTTCTCTCGCAGAACCGCTGGTGGTTTCGAACTGCTGACCTTGAGGTTGGTAGCCCGATTCATAACCACTATGCTACCACCAGAGGTTTTTTAAATTCGATTTTGCAAAATCAGGTGCCCAACCCAGTAGACAGGGGCAGACGCATCTCATGGCCAGCGGGCAGTTTCATTCCCGTGTCTTGAAAAAGCCCCTCCTCCAGTTCCCTTTTTACTGGGTACTATGGAGGTCAGCAAGGAGCTCTGGTAGCGTAGTGGTTACGAATCGGGCTGCGAACCTTAAGGCCAACAGTTCGAAACTACCAGCCGCTCTGCGGGAGAAAGATGAGGTGTTCTGCTCCCGTAAAGATTTACAGCCTCGGAAACCCTGTACAGGGTCGCTATGAGTCGGAACCGACTCCACTGCACATAACAACATGGAGTTTTACAATCAATCTCCAACGTCCCATTTTCCCTCCCCCCAGTTCCACAATCTAACCCGTGGTGCCTAGGGTCTTAATGACTGTATTCTTGTTTAAAGTTCCTAGTCCTAGAACAGATTTCTTTCCTCCCTTCCCCCAATTCATCCTGCTTACATATCCCTGGATGTGAATCAACAACTATGTCTGGTCTAGAGATCTCGTGTGCCCTTTGTTCCTGAAGATGGACCATCTTGGGAATTTCTCACAATTTGTTACACAACAGTAGGTAACTAATACACTACAGCTTCTCTGCCCTTGGTAGGCCAGCTCTGAGGCAGCTTCCACAAATCTCTCAGAGGGTCCCAGTAGGATTGAGCCCAGTTGCCCATAGCCAGAATTTGCCTATTACACACACTTTCATTTCACCTCCTTCTTTGTCTCACTTCAACTTCACCATGGTCCCTAAGATCTCCTCCCAAAGAAACGATTTCACCCAATTCTTGTCTCCAGGTCTGCTTCCTTCCCACCTTTTCTTTAAGTTTTCTTTATTTTGCTGTGTTTTAAAAAAAACACACACTCAACAGTTTCCATATGTACAATTTAGTGACATGGGTGGCATTCTTCAAGTTGTGTGACCCTTTTCATCCTCTTTTTCTGAGATGTTTGGTCCCAATGAACATAAATTCACAGTTCCCTAAGGTTCCTAGCTCTTCTTTTGTGTTGCTGTTATCACTGCATTTCAGTATTGATAGTTCTTAAAAGAACATACATAATTCTCAAGGTAGACCAAGGTCTGCTTTTAAGGGAACTCAAGTTAAGGCAACTGTTTCCCTCTTTGGGTTTGATGTTAAGGTTCCCTTGGTGTGGGGATGGTCTGCAGTCATCTGCAGGAAATCCAGCTGGGAAGACTTTCCCCATTGGTTAGCTGTCCCAGGAGAAGGCTTGTGCCAAATTCAAGAATAGCCCCAGTGCCAGATGCAGCCCCACAAGCTCACCTAGAACCAGGCGGATATGATTTGCACATACTGCTCAGGCCTGGGAATGGTGGCAGGGACAATTACATAAGCAGGTCTCGTTGCTGCCCTTTACCCAAGTAGAGGTCTGAGGGATGTGCTCACTTCCCCCTTGGGTTGAGTCTGCCTGTCCCTGTGGCTGGGCTTCATGTGACCACACAAACCACCAGGTCTGAGAAGTAGGAGGTTACAGCGGGGTGGGAAGTAGACTCTGTGGGAAAGGTCAGAGCCTTCCACTGAGCTCTGGGTTATCTGATTACATTCATAACTGAAGCAGGAAGGGCCTAGCTTGCTCAGCCCAGACCTGAAGTTAGGGGGCCAGCAAGACTCCGTCAAGTCCCCCAGGGAAGGGCAAGGAGGCAAAGGGTCTCACATGGTGACTTTTTTTTAACTACAGAAACATCTACATTGTTAGATTTTTTTTTTTTTTTTTTAAATCATGTGTATGACTTACCATAAAATTGGAAAAAGGTGAGGTCTGGGTTATAAGAGATGAGAGGGGAGTTTGGTAGGCATCTACGGTAGAGAGACGTCAGCCTATCCAACCAACAGCCATTCCCTTCTCTCTTTCCACACAGACAAAATCCTACTTTGTTGTTTTTCTCAGGTGACCAATTTACAGCATGTATTCAACAAAGAGATTGCATTTTCCAACTATCAGAGGCCACTGAGAAAAAGCTGTCAAATTAGACTTCATAGGAAAACTCTTTAGGACAGCAACAGATAGATGACAAGGGGCTACTCTTACTTTCTCCTTAGACTTCATCTCCTATTTCCTTGCTGGGATGCTGATGTGATGGCTGGAGCTCCAGCAGTCATCCTGTCATGCTCTAGAAACTGGAAGCCATATCCTAAGAATGGTGGTGGTAGTGGTATGCTGAGGAGTCCCTTCCTGTCCTTATAGTTTCTCATAGTGACAGTATATAGGGCCTATAAATCTTTATAGGAGCAGAAAGCCTCATCTTTCTCCCATGGAGCAGCTGGTAGATTTGAACAGCTGACCTTGCGGTTAGCAGCCCAGCTCATAACCCACTATGCTACCAGAGCTCCTTCCATCCTAAGCACTGTTGTTAAGTGCTGTGGAGTCTGTTCTGACTCATAACAACCCTGCATACAGTTTCCTAGGAGCAGCTGGTGGGTTTGAACTACAACTTTCTAGTTAGTAGTCCAGTGCTTATCTTACAGTGCCACACCAGCTAAAAGGAAGAGGAAATATGAGTCTCTGATGTTGCAGTGACGCTTCTAGACCAGCTCTGGACTTAGTTTATTTCCCACTCAGGTTACATGTCTATCATAGATCTCTGCAGGGAGATGAGGGGAGAGTTCTCATCTGTGTCATTCATGGGTACAGGCAGATGCAACAACCATGAACTTGAACATCATTGTGCCGGACTTCTGAAAGGTATTGCTTTGGCAAGTAAACATGCAGCCTGGAGGTCACTCAAATTACTTGTGCCAAATTATCTGGCCACGGTTAGCGCTCTGACCTACCCAGTCAACTATAAGGACAGGAAGTGTGATACTTCCAAGTGCTCAGACAACAAGGAGCTCAAAATAGTTAGAGTATTCATCACTAAGAGATAGAGTTCAAGATTTATTCTTCTTGATACATTGTTGTTGTTAGGTACGGTTGAGTCCGTACCTACTCATAGGGATGCTATGCACAACAAAATGTAACACTGCCCTGTCCTGAGCCAATTTCACACTCGTTGCTGCGCTTGAGCCCAGTGTGGCTGCTACTGTGCCAATTCCTCTCATTGAGGCTCTTCCTCATTTTTGCTGACCCCCCACTTTACCAAGCCTGATGTCCTTCTCCAGGGACTGGTCCTTCCTGATGATATGTCCAAAGTATGAGAGACAAAGTCTGTCCATCCTGGCTTCCAAGGAGCATTCTGGCTGCACTTCTTCCAACACAGATTTGTTTGTTCTTCTGGCAGTCCATGATACTTTCAATATTCTTTGCAACACCATACCTAAAAAATGCATCAATTCGTCTGTGGTCTTCCTTATTCACTGTCCAATTTTCACATGCAGATGAAGCTACTGAAAATAACATAGCTTGGGTCAGGGGCACCTTAGTCCTTACACTGACATCTTTGTTCTTGAACACTTTAGAGAGGTCTTGTGCTACAGATTTGCCTGATACAATATGTCACTGGATTTCTTGACTACTGCTTCCACAATTGTTGGTGATTAATCCAAGCAAAATGAAGTTTTTTATGCCATTCCTCTTCAATTTGTCAGTCCTGGCATAGTAAACCATGTGAGTGTCAGATTCAAAATGGCCAATAACAGTTCATTCCTGCTCACTTGACATGTAAGAAACTGATAATGTTGAAAATATTGATTACCTTTTATGCTCAGATAATATAAATAACTTCTTTATATTGGCCATTTTGAATCTGACAACCACACGGTTTACTGTGCCAGGAATGACAAATTGTAGAGGAATGGTGTCAAAAAGAACATATCCAGATCAGTCAAGAGGTACAACACTATCTGTGATAGGATAATATCCATGCACCTACAGGGAAGACCAGTTAATACCACTATTATTCAAATTTATGCACCAACCACTAAAGCTAGTGAGGATGAAATAGAATTCTACCAACTTCTCCGATCTGAAATTGATCAAACATGTAATCAAGATGTATTTAATCATTACTGGTGATTGGAATGCAAAGGTTGGGAGCAAAGAGAAAGCATCAGTAGTTGGAAAATATGCCTTGGTGATAGAAATTATGCTAGAGATTGCATGACGGAATTCTGCAAAATGAATGATTTGTTCATTTCAAATACCTTCTTTAGACAGCATAAGAGATGACTATACACATGGACCTCGCCAGATGGAATACATACAAATCAAATTGACTACATCTGCAGAAAGATGTAGTCATCAGTCAAAACAAGGCCAGGGGCATATTGTGAAACAGACCATTAATTACTCATATGCAAATTAAAACTGAAACTGAAGAAAATGAAAACAAGTCCACAAGAGCCAAAATATGACCTTGAATATATCCCACCTGAACTTAGAGATCATCTGAAGAACAGATTTGATACATTAAACACTAAAGACCAAAGACCAGAAGATTTGTGGAATGACACCAAGAACATCATACAGGAAGAAAGCAAAAAGTCGTTAAGAAGGCAAGAAAGAAG